TTTTGTAAAGGTGAAGTTACCAGTTAAAACATTTTCCACTTCCAACTTTGTCAGTGAAACTAAAACATTTTCCACTTCCATCTTTGTCAGTGAAACTAAGGCCAAATTTGAAGCTCTTGGAATCGAATGGATACCATCTACCAAAGTGATCAAAAATCAAGCAGCCTCCCCAGAGGACCCAGTCAGAAAATGTGCAAGCTGTATGCTCCAGAGACCTAGGAGTCAGTTAAAGAAGTGGTAATCCATTAATTTAGTAGTATTCCACCCAGCTTTTTGTCATGTTGTTATTATGTATTGTAACAAGGCAACATTTTTGTGATAAAAATGTCTTCTGGTCAGTGAGTCAATGTTTAAAGATTTGATCTTTCTCGCATCATTGTACTATATATTTTCTAATGTTTATATTCATATTCCAGCACAGGTTGCAAAGCAATGCTGTACTGCTCCAAGGAGTGTCAGATTTGTGACTGGAAATCCTTACATGGAGATTACCTTAGTCACAAGCTCTGGTGCAAGAAAATAGCAGATTTCATGAAGAAGACAGATGAATTAAAGAACTTGCCATTTACGTACATGTCAGGTTAGTTTGATAGCATGCAGTGACAATGCATGACACTCATACTTGACCTGGCGTTGTTTAGCATTTGTTGATATTGGAAACAACAAGCTTAAATAAAAGATGTTAAAAAGAATAAATCTTTTTGTGAACTTTTATTATCTAAAATTAGAAAAGGATCTGATCTGATAATTTTCTAAAAGTTAGAATTTTGTCCTTAGAAAAAATATTACTGATGGCAGTTTTAATACTTGTAGTGCAAGGAGACAACTTTGATTATTTTTCTTGATCAATTTTTTTTAATTACTCTGTTTTTATACATATATGTGTAAAGCATGAATTATTTGTGTTTACTTTATCAGAGACCTCATCAAAGAACTTCAGCAGATATAGATACAAGGAATTCCTTCAGAAAATGGGTGTACTTGAGCAAGGCATGTGGAATGTTGAGTTTTTGGCATCAAAATATGATTATCCTACTTATGGTATGCATACTCTATATTACTGAAAGTTGATTTTAAGGTTTTTGGCATTAGGTGAATAGTTAATTCAAAATTGCTGTTGTTTTATTTTTTGTTACTCTGGCACTGAAGTTCTTTTGTTTGCTGGCATGTTTACATCTTGTTCATAAATAATTATTATTATATATATCCTAATTTAAACCACTATCTTGCACAGTTTTTGCACAACTGTATTAAAACTTGAATGTGCAGAATCATTCTCTTTTTCTAGGTAATCTACAGTATGGTGACAATCCTTATGTTCTGCCAGTGGAATCCTCAATACTTGAAGAACAGCCAACTGATAATGCTCAAAGAATATCCCCCCTCACAGACTGGAAAATCTATTATGACTGGAGAGGATTCAGGCTTGACTCCCCCATAGCTATTCTACTGCAATACCCATTGACTTTGTACTACATTCTGACAACATGTTTGCCAAAAGATTGTGAGTATTAAAAACAATAATATAAGGTAGAATTTTACATTATGATGTTTTTTTTATATATATATTGTACTTAATGCTTTGTGTAATTTTTTTAAATATTTAATTGGAGATATTTATACAAAGGTGCATTTGATAAAAATCTGTTATTACTTCTACTTTGAAATAACTTAAATCTCAGGAATTCAGTTTTATTGGCATTTTTATTATGCATTAAGTTAGAGTTTCGTGTGCCTCTCTATTTTCCTGCGTATCATTTATTAATACTGCCTTTTGCTTTGGTGTATTTTCTGTTCATTAACCATCATATAATCTAGTAAGTAAGATTAATATTTATATCAGTTTTAACATATGTAAACAATTTATTTCTGGAATTAGGAATATAACATGCATGCTTTGTGTGATTTTTACTACTTTCTAAGTCTTAACCTCGGATTTTCATATTGATACATGGTTGATAATCTGTTTCATTTACAGACCCAAGTGCAAAGCAAATAGATGCTGCGCAGCTTACTATCCATGTTGTCGGTGCGGAGAAGGAAGCCAGTATCATTCCTGTTTTCTGGGTGAGAATCTTTTTGTTGAAGTAATTCACATACTTCATTGAAATTTAATCCCATTTGCTCTCTTTTTTTTAACCATTTGCCCAAAAATTAGGTAATTTGTTCATTTTTCTTCTATTTTCAGTATCATTAGTACCACCAGCGTGTACGCTGGCGGTACTCATGGTTTTAGTCCCGACCCGTCTCGTACAGCTCCGCCGGCTCCTGCGGCTCCTGTGGCTCCGCAGGATGGCGTGGGATACAAGTCACCGTTACCGCTTCTCCTCCTAGACCGCAAAGACCTGTGTCCCCATCTCTTGGATTTAGGTCAAATATAATCTCAACTTGAACCCCCTGTTTTTTTTTGTCTCAGTCGGTGCATTGGCCTGGGTGTGGCGCTTGTTGTAACGCACCCTTGTCAAAATTTTTGAAAATTCAATGCTAAATATCTCCAATACCTAAGGAATTATGGGAAAAATTTCTACAGATGGCTGACTGAAAGTCACATGTGGAGATTTCAAATATGCCCTTGGATTTGACCTTTGACCTTTATTTCAAGGTCAAACGGGCCAAAATTTTCTAAAAATGGGAATTTTTTGCAAAAAAATTATTATTTTATGCCGAGTTTCAGAAACTTCACAGATCTAACTTATAATATTATGGACAGGTGTTACCCTTAGGGTCTACTTTCATCTTTGTGAGTTTGGGGTCAATCGGTGCATTTTCACGTGAGCAGCGGCCATTAAATGCCAAAACTGGAAACTCTCCAATTCTGGAACTGTTAATGCTAGAGACCTCTTGTTTTTTGCATTTTGTAGAGCTTATCAAGCGCAACACTGAAGGTGGTTTCCGTTATTTGTTTTCGATACTACTTAGGCATTGCACTTTATCGAAAAGTTCAACATCCAATATTTAGTGGTGAAAATAAAAAGTGAAATACTACTGTACAAAATTAGCAGAGATACGCCCATAGTTACTGTTAAACTTGAATAGGAAGCCATATACTTGTAATCTAACTGTGACCTTGAAATTGATCTTTGACCTTCTTTTCATGATGAACTGCACTTTGCAAGTTTTCTGATTTTTATATCTCCAAAACTGGCAAAGATATGCCGATAGTTACTGTTGAACTTACATAGGAAGTCATATACTGGCAATCTAACTGTGATCCTGAAGTTGACCTCTGACCTAATTTTCACCATGAACTGAACTTTGCAAATTTTCCAGCCCTAACATCTCTTAAACTGGCAAAGATATGCCCATAGCTACTGTTAAACTTGAGTAGGAAGTCATATACTGGCAATCTTATTGTGACCTTTAAATTGACCACTGACCTACTTTTCACCATGAACTGAACTTTGCAAATTTTCTCTCCCTTATATCTCAAAAACTGAGAGAGATACATCATTAGTTACTATTGAACTTCAATAGGAAGTCATATACTGGCAATCTAACTGTGACCTTCAATTTGACCTTTGACCTACTTTTTATAATGAACTGTACTTTGCATGTTTTCTGGCCTTTATATCTGGCAAAGAAATGCCCATAGTTACTTTTTAACTTGAATAGGAAGTCATAAACTGTGACCTTAAAATTGACCTTTGACCTACTGTTCACCTTGAACTGAACTTTGCATATTTTCTTGCCCCTCATATCTTCAAAACTAGCAGAGATATGCCCAGTGTTGCCCATATGTTTCCTGTTTTGTCAGCATATATGCAACACTGATAACACATTTCAAGGAAAACCAATAGGCCTATTGTCTAGAAAATCACAGGAGTGATCAGTGTTAGGAAAATATATGTCAATTGGAAAACCCGCTTGATTGGACCATTTTTACAGTTTTTTTTTTTTTTTTTTTTTTTTTTTTTTTTTTTG